TATTTCTTTTCAGATAATGTAGGAATGCTATGCATATCACAAGCATTACTATTATTTAACTCAAGTAACTTTGTATTTCTTTTAACCTTAGGAAAAGGATTTCTAGTAATCTTAGTCAACATGCATGTATTACATTTATTAATATATTAACTAAATTCAAGAATTAACATAAGCTTACTTATATCATGCAATTTTCTATTATTTAAATAACCTAATCTATAATTCCATAAATATGAAGATTTAACCATGTAAACAAAAATAACTTTTTATTTTTATTAACAATATTGAGTTTGAACATTCACTCATACATATACCATTTTCCAACAAAAATTTTTTCATTAGACAAAATTAATTTATCTGGCTCAAATACAAGTTTAAAACCAAACTTGTTCAACAAATTTCTAGACACTAAGTTCTTCTTAGCTTCTAGTACATAATAAACATCATTCAAAGTTAGAGTTTTTCCAAAAATGAATTCAAGGTCAATAGTCCCTTTGCTAATGATTGTTTTTGTAAAAGAATTTCTTATATAGAAGACATTGCCATATTCACTTGGTTTAAATGTTGTGAACATGCTTTTATCCTTACACATATGTTTTGTTGCCCTAGAATCAAACCACCAAGATTTATCATTTTCAAGCATGTAGATCCTGGAAATCATGGCAACAAATTTTTTAAAAGTATCACCTTTTGAGGAATCATTTTTCTTCTGTAGCAACCATTATTCTTTCTTGAAATGTCTTGGCTTACCACAATGGTAACATTAGCCTTTCTTCTTTTTCTTGAATTTAGGCCCATTAGCAATCTGTTTGAACTTTAACTTTTTTTTTTAAGCTTTATAGTCTGTCTTTCCTCTAAAACATGAACTTTGGCATCACCAGAATTGAAATTCTATTCTTGTCTTTTGTGTTCCTCTTCAATTTGAAGACGATTAGCTAAGGCCTCAAGAGTGATTTCTTCTTTTTATGTTTCAAACTTTTTTTAAAGTCTTTTCATGTTGGAGAAAGTTTGTCTATTACAGAGGACACAGTAATTGTTTCATCCATACTTATATTATATTGTTTAAACTAATTAAACATTCTTTCAATGTCACTCAGTTGTTTAATCTCAAAACATCCATCAACTATATGATAAATATTGAAATAACTAACAAAAAATTTTTAACTTGTTACATCTTTGATAATATACTTGGTCTTTAATTTGTCCCATAACTCTTTTGCAGTAGCCTTGTTACGATATGTATCAAATAGGCTATCAAACAGACTATTCAAAATATGATTTTTACACATGTAGTATGCGTTATCCCATTTCTGCCTCTCTATTGTTGTAGCAATAGATTCTTCTATTTTAGTTTCTTCTAGCCTAGGAGTAGTAAGAACATATGCAACCTTCAAGGTTAAAAGTAGGAAATGCATATTCTTCAGCCATATTCAAAAACACTACCATCGAAACAATCTAATTTGACAAAACTAGAGGCCAATTCCTCGAGTGTTGCTTCAGTAGCCATTGTTGAATCAAATAAAACCTTAAGATTGTTAGAGTGAGCACTGAAAATCTGGAATTACTGTTTCTGATAAATTTGAAATTTTGAGGAAAGGCTCCAAGACGTGTAACGGTGTCACTTTCCTTAAGGTTTTATTTGCCCCCACTATAATATTTACTTCATAGGTTTGCAAAAAGTTTGCAGGCAATAAACCTTGAGGATACAATAAAACCCAATAACTGACTGCCTTTTATACTAACAAAATCAATCCACTGAGCAATCATTGGCATATCACAAGATCGCTAAACTTCTATAAAGGTTTTCTGCAACAAAATTTTTATAAAAAAAATCTGAAGTTTTAAGAAAGAGGGAAAGTTCTAGGAATTATTTTTGTATATTTTCAAAAAATCAAATAAGCCTTTTATAAATAGATAAGTATTATTTCCTATGATATAACTATCTATTTATAAATAGATAAGTATTATTTCCTACTGACATAACTGTCTATATTGAATAGACACAAAATTGTCTATTTTTAACAATGAAAACTATTTATTTTGAACAGACTTATCTCTTTGTTTTAAACAAAGTTAACAATCTATCTTTATTTTTTTTTCAATGTAGGATTATTTTTCATATTTTATTTTGAAAATCTCTAACATTATAATTAAGCATAAACAATTTTAGTTATAATATTTTTTAAGGTTGGACTCAAGTACAAAAATTAAAGGTAAATGGATATATGATTCAGGTCAACCACATAACATAAGCTTCAAGGTTTTAATTGAGCCAAGCTCAAGCCTATTATTGTATCAGTTCGGTTCAACCCCATTATAACCATGAGTGTAAACAATAATAAAATTGATCAAATAAGCTTGTTTAATGACGAAGATGATATATTCGCTATTTAGCATGATAATCAGTTTATATCCATGTTTTCTCGTCATTTTGCTACAGAACGACGAAACTTGATAAATTCCTTACTACCTTGAGCTTCGACCAGACAAAGTAATATTTTGTTCAAAATATTAAGAGCCAGTTGGGCTGAGTTTTAACCCCATATATATCACTTTCGAGCAACAAGCTTGACTTAATATTCTTTCTCAATTTTATCCATCTGAATCAGACAAAAAAAATGATGATATATCTACATGAAAGAGTCAAGTTAAAATCATTTTTTCTCAACTTAAAAAAATGTACACTTGTATTGGATTTGATCTTTGAGCAAATGGTTATATAGAGAAAACTGTGTCGGATGAATTAATCAAGCCATTTACAATAATGGCATTATTGACAAACAAAAACAACTACCCAAAAGTCACAATGGTAATTCATGGAAAGAGCATAAAATTATTTGAGCAAAGAACCAAAATATGAAAATATCTTGTCCCTGTCTTTTGATCCAATTAGTTACCACCGAAGCCCGATCATATTGACTTGGGGGTATCAAATAATGGGGAACTAAGAGCAAGGACGACACGCACAGAATTTCTCCTGTTAAATCATTCTAGCTCTAAAAGTCAAACCATCAACTAATTACCAAGTTGCTCAGTGCCTCACAGCTTCAAACGGATTTTCTGCCCTGGGAGTTTTCACATCAATCGTGTCATCAGTACTAGGAAAAAACCAGGCTAGCCCATCAAAGATTAAAAGCATATAATCTCTAAATCATATGCTTTAGCCAAAATCATGAATCCTAGCCTAGAATTATATATCAAGGGGATTATCGTTATCACTTCCTTTTCTATTATTGATCGTTCGTCAGTTTGATACATCGCTTGTCCCCCACCTCCTTAATAACACGCATGCGCGCGCGCATAAGGTCACATTTTTGTCATTGTTCATGTTGGTGTCATCCATTCCAGCCACTATTATTGTAGGAATGGTATCCCCATGAAGGAAAATTAATGTATCCGATCCCTATCTATACCAAGTCACATAAGCTTTCCAGCATTTGCATGCTAAATTAAGATAAGTGACAAAGGCATCTGCACCACTAATAGAGATCAATCAACTCAAATTGGAAAAGTTCTATCTTTATGAATGAATTCTCCCTCTTTACAAAGTACAAAAGCTAGCTCTCTCCCCATCTAATATTGATTCTTATACTCTCTCCTTTCGGATCCTATTCTTTTTTCAACTTTTTGTCAATCTATTCATAGCCTTAAACCCCTGAACCCAACTACCATCTCCAAATTTGAGGTCTTATCATCATGTAACCGCCTTGTAAAAAGACAGAAAACTCACCAACAATGGTAATATGTTGAAAGGGGAGAAGGGAGGGGGAGAAATGGAGAATTGCAAAACACTTGGACTAATCCAGTTCTGAATCTTTTCCTCTAGTTTTTAGAGTCCAAGGAACCTAGTGAAGAAGTGAACTGTTCAATGTGGTCAAATTTAGCTGCATTGATTTAATTAGTGACCGTGTATTTTACATATGAAACCTCCGCTTTTTTTTATATTCTATGACTGCTTTATTCAGTCCATGTCTCAGACTCTGACGAGCACTGGAGAAACAAGAATTGCATGGGAAAGAACACTGTTTTTGTTTGCGCGGTGCATCAATCGTTTTTTCTTCCAATCACTCTGCACTCACTGTTACAAATTTTCTAACATGCTTCAGTGCCGCCCTATCGCTGCAGAGAGAGAAAACCCATAATTCTACGTTTAGTTGTGTAGCTTATCATATAGTATATTTTGTTTAGTCGAGCACGTTTCGTTTAAAGTGAATCTAGAAACACAAGAAAAAGGAAGGAATCGTTTCCCATAGTAACTCGTAAGTAATTCCTTTGAAAATGAAAATTTAATTTATTTAATCATATAATTATTTTTAAACTACTATTTAATAAATTTAAAATCTTAATAATTATAAATTTTTTTTATTTTCATGCAACTTCCTACATATAAAAAAAAAAAAAAAAACTCTTTTAAATTTTCAATTTCCAGCATCTTTTCTCCTCTACTTTAGGCTTTTTAGTGGTTCTTAATTAGATTAAACCTGACCAAGTGTGCTTGCAGGGTTGAATGGGGACCTTAACTGCTCCTCAAACTTCAAATACGAGAGCATATAATTGGAGGGATATAAAAGAACAGGACAGGACCCACTTTGTACTTAATTAAATGATCATTAACCCTCTGATTTGGTTCCTTTCTTTGATTGATTGATGATTAAAGCAATACTTGAATGTTTCATGTCTTTCGCTATTGGTCATTCATATTACCATTGAGAGGGACCATTTGTGCGACTGTCATAGCTTTGCCACCTCGGCAGTCTATAACTCATAGGCTATTGTGGAATTAATACCAACCCCATATAAGAAAATTCTTCTACTTTAAATATAAAGGCTGATGGGCACGTGCAGAAATTCCAATTGCGGTGTTTTAGACCCTTGAAGCCTATAAATTTCAGTTTGCCAAGTACTTTCACTTTCATTGCTACAATAATGATAGCTTTGAGCCTGCTTTAATTCCCCAAAAACTAATACCCGTCACGCGCACACCCACATAAACACAAAGTATGAGAGCAGCTATGCCTCCTGTTACAAAGAGCATGTCCACTCCTGTTCAAACGGATAGTGAGCTGAGAAGAGGGCCATGGACCCTTGAAGAGGATACTCTCATAACCCATTACATTGCTCGTCATGGGGAAGGTCGTTGGAATATGTTGGCAAAATATGCAGGTACCAAAACATCGATCAAGTTACTAAACATGTTGAATTAATTGACGTACAGCAATGTTTACTCTTTTCCTTCAGTTGTCGTTAGTCCACCTTTAACTTCCTCAGGTCTCAAGAGAACTGGTAAAAGTTGCAGATTGAGGTGGCTGAATTATTTAAAACCTGACATTAAGCGCGGAAACCTGACTCCTGAAGAACAACTCTTGATTCTTGAACTTCATTCCAAGTGGGGAAACAGGTAATTTATCGGTTGATTAAAGGCGCATTTTTGTGTTCATCATTGATTACTAATGACCTGATATTTTCTGAAATTTGTTGTCGCTCTAGGTGGTCGAAAATTGCACAACATCTTCCAGGAAGAACAGACAATGAGATCAAGAATTACTGGAGAACAAGGGTGCAAAAACAGGCACGCCAACTTAATATTGAGTCCAACAGCAAGAGATTCCTTGAGGCAGTTCGATGTTTTTGGATGCCGAGATTGCTTCAAAAAGTAGAGCAGACATCCTCCTCCTCCTCTTCTTCTTTAAAAGAAATGAGCTTCCGAAGCTCAGATCCTTCTCAATTATTAGACTGCACAGACCCTGCGTTGTCAACATTTTCCCCACTTCCAAACACAATCACAGACAATTCAAATCATTCCTCCGAAAATTCAAGTTCAATCACTAGCCAAAGTCTTTATCGCACAGATTTCATGAACATTCCAGAGCAAACTGAAATCCCCGAACACCTAATAAGTCCAAATGTTTATGGCCATACCTGTGTCTGCAACAATAACCAAATTCTAAATGAAAGTTACAATAATGACAGCAGTGGCTATGACATGGGGGGTTTTAGTCTGGCACCCATGTTAGCTGTGGGCTCCTATGAAGGATTCCCATCTGAATTGGGTGAAGGAAATTGGATTTTTAATGAGATGGCAGATAATTTATGGAACATGGATGACATATATGACAGTTTAGGGAGTTGGTAAAGATGGGCAACTAGATATAGCCATAACGAGGGCCAAGGGGGGAGTACTTAGGTCTAATTATCCAGGAACTTGAAGGCTCCTCCCCAAGTGTCAGAAATCATACTGATCAAAACTGGAATGAATCGTTGTGTGATAATTCAAGCATTATAGTTTAATGCTTGCTATAGGACATATCATGTAAGGGTGAAAGTGATTTTCAATGGAGAAGTTTTCTATGTACTACTGCTATTATTTTAGTAGTTGGAAAGCTCTGTGTATTGCTTGAGACTGTCTTTTCTTGGTTATTATGGTTATATAAATAAATATTTCAATTTCTACTAGGGGATTGCTCCTTGAACCCTCCAATGCTAACTAAAAGATAGGTGGCGAAGAAATTTCAATGGTGTTGTCAATTCAAGGAAATGCTGGAGAGAAATGACAACTTAGCATAACATCAAAAGTGGAGTCACATCTATTTTTTTGTGACAAATTTTTGGTAGTTAGCACTTGAGAAAACTACAACCGAAGGGGTTATGAGTGGGAATAGTTCATTGTTTTCCGTCTTTTTTAAGATAATGCCATAAAGGAATCGGAATAGTTAAATTCGGTTCTTTTGACAAATATAAAGTCGCAACCCCAAGTAATCAAGTACTCTCATAGCCTTTCATAGAACCACAACATAAATGGTAGCGGAAAAAAATTGGAATTTAAAATTTAATGAATTGATTTATATAATATTTTTAATTAATAATATTTAATAATTTTAAAATTTAATACTATTTTTTAGAGAGTAGAGAGATGATTGTCTTCTACCAAAAATAGAAGAGACGATTGGCATTTTCTTTGAAAAGGAAAAAGGAAAAAAAATGTTCCCCTTCACATGCACCCACCAATTCAAATGAAACTTTACAAAATAAATTTTGATTGTTCTATGCACAGCATGTCAAGGAAACGACAATCCGAACCTGACTTTGGTACCGAGGTGACTTATAGGCAAAAGTCAAAAAAAGAGAGTAATAATGTCATAAATTTTTGTACCTTTTTTGGGTTATTGCTGATATGAAATGCTATCACACCATTTCAAGGAAAATCCGAGTAAATCATTTCCCAAAAGAAAGAAATGAGAGGGAGAAAAATAATTTAAGTAAAATTTACTTCTAAGATGGACAATAAATTTAGTCTAAGCAGCAAATTAAATTTGTTTACATGTTGAATTTTGGATAAAATTTTGAAAGTTGGATCAGTTGAGCTTGTACTTTATTTTATGAATAAAAATTTTAATTTTAAATTTAAAATATATTAAAAATTTATAAAATAATAATTTTTAATATATTTTTTAAAAAATTTTTTCAATATTTATATGTTAGTTCTTCTGGTTTGATCTTTAGACAAATATTTTTAAAAATTAAACTGAACTTAATTCAATTCGATTTATAAATATTTCTACGTCAAACAACTTAAATAAAATTAAAACACTGCCTTGAACCTTTGAAAATATTATAATGCCTACTATTGTGTCATGATCCCATTTCAATAAGATTTAGTCAATATTGCAATTCGAGTAGTTACTTCTTAAAGATGCATTGACACAAATGAATAGCTGTGAGTCGTGGATTTAGTCACTCTTTTACAGCATTGTTGTGACAACTTTTTCGGCTTTTTGACTAAAATCAAGTGTAACACCCACGCTCAGGTGGTGTTGTGCATCCAAGCTTAATTAACGGAGAAATATGTTGAACAACTAGAAACAGCTAAAGGAGAAATAATATTTGCCGCCATGCAAGCATTAGGACAAGTTTAAGGAGGTAGATGAAGCCAGAGAATTGCAGATTTTGTTGCCTGGTTGGATATACATAAAAGAAATATATAGATATAATGAAAAGTGGCATAGAAATGACTATGACGGAGTTGGAAGATTACTACAACTTGATTTGAAATGAGACCGTTGCCCTTTGAAATCAAACATTATAATTAATGGACATTTTTTCAATGGTCAATTGCGCTCTTTACTATTCAACCTAAAACCTTCATTGCCCACAAGATTTTCTTTCTATTACATAAAATTTGTGGACACAATTTTGCTTTGCAAATTGATTTTTCGTTGTTTGAACAATTTAGAACCTTTAATGCCATTATCTCATAGACCCGAGTCAAATTCATATTCTTAGATTCGCTTAAAAAATTTTTAAACTTTCACCATTTTTGTATAAAATAATAATTATATATATGCATTTACATATGATCTGTGTTAAATTTTAGATAAAAATATTTGTGTGAATGAAAATAAAAATTAGAAAGAAAAAAAAAAGAATGCAATAAGACAGGAATAAAAAAAAATTCGTGGTTTGGTTCCGGTGGCCTAAAACTTCGAGAGAAAGGTCCAAAAGGCTATATAAATAATACTTTGACTTGTAAGAAAGAATGAATAAATTAAGGATTATTTTTAGACATATTTTAGACGCTGATTATTAGAATCATCTCATAATTATCTTTTGAGAAATCTTCTAAAAGTCAATACTTTCCAACATTGCTCCTCAACTTGGCGCAAGAAAAAAAGCGGTCCATTTGAAAAAAGTTGCAATAATCGAGATTCAGTGGATCTTTTGAAAAATAATTGTAGAAGAAAGAAATATTGTAAAAAATGAGCTCCATCCGTTCTGATCTGACACGAGGGAGGGGATTTTTTTTTTTTTTTGCTTGAGATTTTTTGATATTTAGTAATAATTTTAGGTCTAGTTAAGTTGAGTTAAATTTTATTAAAAAAATAAAATTTTAAAATTTTTTTTATTTATAAAATTTAAAATCAAGATTTTATTAAAAAAAAATCAACTTTTTTTTTCATTCAAACTAATAGACTCTGATAATACGAGGGAGGGGATGTTAAACCTTTGCAAAGTGACCCTACAAAATTAATACGTAAGCTCCCCTGAACTGGATAATCAGGAGGCTAAATCAAGATCAAGAACTAAAATTGGTAACGTGGAAAAATGAATATCGTGAATAGATATTAGGAAAGACAATATGTGAGCCAATAAATAAATGACTCAAAACAGCCTGAAATGTTATAGAGATGAAAAAAAGACAATAAGACTTGGAATTAAACTTACTCTTGATATTATGTTAAATTTCAAACAAAAATATTTGTATAAATAAAAATGAATAAGAGAAAATGCAAAAAAACAAAAACACAAAGAAAGTATTTGTGTAGCCTACATCCACAGGAGAAAAGTTCAAAGGGTTACATTGTAAATTTTCTGACTTACATGAAAAATTATATTGAACCCTATTTGTGTAAATAATATAAAAAACTATCATCTCTACTGTTTAAAAAGCGATGGAATCCACTACTTTTATCCAAAGGTGAATTATATACTTCCAACTAAATTTATGTTGAAATTTAATAATTTTAAATTAAATATAAAAATAAATAAAAACTAATTAAAAATTATTTAAATAATTATTAATCATAAACTTAATTAAAAATACATTTATCATCTTTAAATAAAAGATATGAAAACTTTTACTATTTTCTAAGTATTGGAGATGATTATTTCAATTTGATTTTCGATTTTTGCCATCATCCAAACCTGAAAGTCACAAATCACAAGTTCCATTTTATATTTTATTAGTGTAAGCTTGATTTCTCAACTGTTATAGTAGTATTATTTTAATAAGTACTCAATCTAAAAAAAAACAAAAAAAAAAGAGTGGTTCTACACTTCGGCTTTAATTTGTAAATTAAAAATACATTTTGTTTTTTCATATTACAAAGATTTCATTCAGTCAAATGTTCTAATGTATTAAATTATCGTATTAAGAAAAACTCCTTAGCACTTCAGTTGTGAGGAGTTTAAAGATAATAATTTATAAAATATTAGTAATATTTATTTATTTTATAATAAAATATTATTAAATTATTAATTATATTTGTTAATAGGTAAATTGACTTTTATAATATAAATTATGTCAAAAATATTTGAATTAGAAAATAAAATCAATCTATTAAATTCATAATATAAGAAAAAAATATATTATATAAAATATTTTTAAAAAATAAAACCTACGCAAATTATTTTGAACTTATTACAATGAATAGTAGTTTGAAAATATAAAAATTTATAATAATAAAATAATTATAATTTTAATATGCAATCAATTTTTAATTCATATATTAAATGGATAAAATTGACTTTTATTAATTTTATATATCACTTTTTTTATGATAAATTTTTTATATGGAACTTAAATCACCCTCTAAGGTAATAATTTGATTACTTTCAGTGATCTAAAACCATTGCCACAGAATCACTAAATACTTATCAAATATAATGATCTAATTATCATGTGTAAATCATCATAATTTTTTAAGTAATCATTCTATACCAAATACTACTTGATCTCAATTTGAACTTGAATAATCTAATGATATGGAGTTAGTAAAGTTGACGGAATAAATAGAATTATGCATTATATTCTAACTCAAATCTAATCAAATTCAATTTGAACAAAAAAAAAGTTAAAAATTCAAATTCATTCAAACTAAGCATAGAACAATTTGTATCAAAATTAATTTAAGTATGAAATATATCTAAATTCGAATGATTCAAAAGACACTCAAAATAATCTAAAATTAAATTGATTTGAATTTTTGAATCAATAATTTGGTCAAAAAATAACATGAATTTGAATAATTCAATGGTCAAACTTGAAAGATTGGAACCAAAATAATTCAAACAAAAAATATTTCAATCTAAAATGAGCCGACACAAAGCAACCCGCCAAATTTTGACCTCTAATTTGAAGTTTAAGAATTATCAAATTTAAATCAAGGTTGTCTCCTCAAATACAGAACAAATCAAATAGTTGTTCCTAGGTTACATTGATCTAGCTTAGTTAGCTAATTAAGAAACTATATTAGAAGTTAAAACAAAAAAAAAAAAAACTCTATTGTAGTATTTGTTATCATTTTCAAGAACATTATAATAATTTAATCAATAAGGTAATTTTATTACTAAGGAGAT